TCTGAACGTTCAAAATTTCCAAGTATAACAGTGGGTTTAAATGAGCTCACACCTCTCTCCCACCCCCTCCCAAAATAATCAGAAAGGACAAAGAAGTGTGACATGAATCATTAGCTACATCAGTAAGTCCAAAACGAACTCAAGAACAGGTCTCTCTCAAAAGCTTGCAAGCTATCAGAAAAAAAAAAAAAATTACTCAGAAAAACATTTTTTCCCTTTGTCAACTCTGAAATGGATATAAATAAAATGCAAATGCTGTCTTCCTGAGGATTTTAATAAAATCCATGTCAAGCCCTGGCAATAAAATGATCCACCACAAGGTGGAGAGGGGAAGTGGGGGTGGGGAAGGGGGCAGAAAGCACTTTGTTTACAAGGTAGAAATACTTTTTACTGCATAGAAAATGTCCTTCCAGGAGGTGCTGTCTCTGTGAGATATTAAGCAGAGGCAAACAAAATACCCCAAAGCCGCTGTTACATTTTCTTCACCCTGGATTGCTTCAAAGGCTACATATTACTTCCATTTTAATTCAATGCCAGATATATACAAATTACTCCAGTAATAAGGTAAAATAATTTGTCTTGTAATCACTATGAACAGAACAGAACAGAACACACAATTACTGCAGTCACATAATGTAGCAGCCTTGTGGCAATTTATCACCACACAGCAAGTCTTCCATCTCTCTGGGTCTTTTAACACTACCAGGGAGTGTCTCTGCAAAAGGACAGTACCTTTCTACCCAACAGACAGGGCTGGGAAGATGAACGATGTAGAGATCATAAGATACTAAAATACTTACCATATTAGTAGTCATATATGCTACTAAAACAGAAGACTTTTTCTACTGTTTTAATATTTTGCCTTGCATTGAAGAAAGGGTGACTAGCAAAATGTTTCATCAGATTGAGTGTTTTTCGGACTACCATGTGAACATCTACTGTGTCTGAGCCCCACATAAATAAAACAGAATGTCTAACAAGAAAATAAATATTTCTTCATCTTCTCCTGCCTAACATTTTAAAAAGTGTTCAAAAGGAAGTTCTTTCCAGTATTGTTTTTTAAAAGGGTAGCCTTAAAGCTGGAAATAATCAAGAAATGGTTTGCGTTAAAAAGGGCCTTAAAGATCATCTAGTTCCAACGCCCCTGCCATGGGCATGAACACCTCCCACTAAACCAGGTTGTTCAAAGGCCCATCCAACCTGGCCTTTAACACCTCCAGAGAGGGGTAGCCACAATTTCCCCTGGCAATCTATTCCAGAGTCTCACCACCCTCACAGTAAAGAATTTCTTCCTAATGTCTAATGTAAATCTACCCTCTTCCTGTTTAAAACCATTACCCCTTGTCCTACTGCTAGACATGCTTGTAGAAAGTCCCTCCTCAGCTTTCCTATTGGCCCCTTCTGGTACTGGAAGGCCACTATACAGCCTCCCCAGACCCTTCTCCTCTCCAGGCTGAACAACCCCAACCCTCTCAGCCCATTTTCACAGGATTATCTTTGTGGCCCTTGTCTGAACTCGCTGCAAGAGCTTCATGTCCTGCTTCTTTCAGGGGCTCTGGAACTGGACACAATACTCCAGGTGTTGGGACCACGCCCCTTAATGAATAGAGAAACACCTCTCAGAGACAAACTGCTTAAAAGAGAACCTACACCGAAGACTATGAGACTGACCAAGGACATTGCTCAAGGGCAAACAAACTCCTTGTTTGACAGACTCCACTGTGGGAAAGCAGTAGCATTGTAGCAAGCTGCTCCTGCCCTCAGTGGATTGGCTGCTTATGCCCTTGGTGATTGGTCAGGCATCATGCCAAATCAACAGGATCAGAAACACACCAATAGGGAACTGAGGTTCTCCCTCCAAGTAAGAGTAAAAGACTCCCGCGGCTCACCTGCCTGCTGCTTGCCTGCCCTGTGTCTGCAGATCGTTGGTGGAGCCCAAGGGACAAAGGAGAAGAGATGCTGCTTAAGCTATGGACAGTGGGCGGGTGGAGAGTGAAAACCCCGATGTGGGGTCCTTCCCTGAGACTCAGCACCGGGCAGCTCGGTCGCCAGCCAAGATCTCTGAGCTGAACACTCCTTGAGCTGAAACAGCTACAACCATAGGACTAGGACGTTTGGTTAGCTCAGGTCCTGTCAGGGTCTATCACTTTAAAGGAGCTGCAAAAGGGAAAGCTGATGAAGAATATCAAAGTCCTGCTGCTGGGAGCACACTGCCCTCTCACATCTACGGCCAGTGCGTCAGGACGTCTCCGTGTGGACAGTGCTCGCAATCTGAAGCAGTACTCTCAGGACCGGGGCTGCGCATGCAAAACAATATCTGCTATTTTCCTCCTTTAATTCCTCTTAATTGTGATATTCTCCAGGTACATGTTCCTCACTCCGCATGCACAATATCAACCCCACAGAGGGGGAAACCACAACAGGCTTATAAATCTTTCTTCTCTATCCATAACTTTCTGTCTGTGCGCTATCTCTCCGGGGTAACACCTCCTGTAGGAGTGTTTTGGTAAAACAAGTACACCATGCTGTTTTTTCCCCTGACTTACCCCAGTTACACTCCTCAAGCCCGCTTTCTCTTTGTACCCTTGTTAGCCATTAATAAACCTTTAATTATTAAACCTTAATTTTGGCCATTGAGTGAGGTGATTTTAGGAGCTACACCCGTGGGAACTCCCGGTATAGTACCTCTGGCCCCAAGCCAAGGGCAGACCCATGTAACCCTTGGTCCAATTGCTTTGCTAACTCTCGTGGGAGGCTGCCCGTAGTGAGTAAAGCTGGTGTCAGAACCTGACTTACACCACCACAATCTCCCAGGTTGTGACACCAGGTGAGGTCTCATGAGAGTGGAGGGAAGAATCACCTCCCTTGACCTGCTGGCCACACTTCTTTTGACACAGCCCAGGACATGGTTGGCTTTCTGGGCTGGAAGTGCACACTGATGGCTCATGTTGAGCTTCTCATCAACCAACATCCCCAAGTCCTTCTCCTCCGGACTGCTCTCAATCCATTCTCCACTGAGCCTCCTGTATTTGCACTTGGGATTGTCCTGATCCACGTTCAGGACCTTGCTCTTCATACTGTTGAACTTCATGAGGCTGGCATGTGCTGAAGACACATTAATAATAAATAGATAATGCCTCTTATTAACTCAGTTGATTGAATAGAGAGCCATAACAAACTGAACTAAGCCTGTCAAGGACATAGCAAATTACTGATTGACAGGACTTGAGTGGGAAACCAGCAACATTATTGCAGGACATGCTCACCCTCAGCTGACTGGTCAGCACATATACTAACGAAGGATCAGAAAATAAATACCTATCAGGGACTCAGGTTCACCCTGAAGGGAAGTTTCAGTAAAGGACTGCTGCCGCAGCCTGCTGCTGGCTGCTCGTGGTGGGAGATGTGTGCTTGCTGAATCACCGGAGAAGCAGAAGACGACCAGAGCTTCGCAGATGGTGCAGAAGCAGACGCAAGAACCCCAGAAGTGCGGATCTTCCCCGAGATCTGGCAATCAGTGGCTCAGTCGTTGGCCAGAATCTCTCAATGGGAAAATAAATCACAACTGAGCTATCACTCAGATGACGCAACAGGGACAAAGGCAGTAGTTAGCGCAGAGCTGCCGGTTCCAGGTCCTAGGTTCCAGGTCTTAACTAGTAAAAGAGCTGATAACGTGGCAGCTGAAGACAAAGCAGGGGAGCTGTGTGGGAGGGACAGGTGGAGAAACCTGGAAACACAACTCACCCCAAGGGCCAGCAACTAGCAGCCGGTCACTAGCTAGAACCTTCAAGGGGGTCAATCACAACTGAGCTATGGCTCAAAACGACCCAACAGGAACGGAGATTTGCTGCAGAGTCACTGCAGCTCAGCACAAATGCCTCAACCTGCCAAACCTTGAATTGTAAGCGCAATTACTTCTCAGTTCTTTCACTTGCCTTTCTGCGATTTCTCAACCCGGGAAGATCTAACCAGCCCTCACAGGCACACAAAGCGGCTACCTAACCGGGATCGGTGATGGGCACAACACTCACCGCCCCTCTATCTGGTTCTGTAATACTCCATCTTGGAGTTCTCACCTTTTCGGTTAACACCTCCAACCGGGAGCAGGTTGAATTCAAACGAGACACCTGTATTTTTTTTATTCCTCAATTTCACTCAATCCCTTAAAATTTGTTAATCAAAATTTATCCTGAGTATCCTTGTGTACCCCTGACCTTGAAATAAACCGTGGTTAAATTCGTTAAAGCAGATCATGGTTTTACATTTTAATTTCAGTATGGGGGGTAACTAGTGGAGTTGTAACACTTTGATACCCAGCACATCCGCTCTGGCCCCTATTTGGGGTTGACTCGCATAAACCATTTGGTAATTTGTCTGGACTGCCTGAATGGGAGGCTGGTCACTGTGATTCAGACTGGTGTCAGAAACATCCTGGTTGTCAGGGAGGGTGTGTCCTGTAAGGTTGACACCGTCTCCCGCAGCACGTGACCCACTCAGATCAGCTCCAGATTTCAGGCAGCTCAGGCCATTGTTTTGGTTTTTTCCCTTTAAAAACATTACAGCCTGGGCCAACCTCTCAATTCTGTACAGGTGTCTCTGGATGGCCTCCCCTCCCTCCAACGTGTTGACCACACCACACAACTTGGTGTTGTGAGCAAACTTCCTGAGGGTGCACTCAATCCCACTGTCCATATAATCATTTAGAATATTTTATTAAAATGTCTTAAAAATTTAAGCAAGTTTACTGTAAGTGATTTCAGATCTAAGAAAAAAAACAACAACCAAACAAAAACCTCAGAATGATTCTCTCACACTACTTGCAGTTTTCAGGAGTCATTTCTAAGTATAAGGCTTGACAGAAAAGAAAGCTAAAATACATTGATTCCTTGAAGAAGTATGTCTCATGTCCACAGGACCACAAGTTCTTTGTATTTTATAGTTAACTAAGTTCAATAAATTAAGTAATACTGCTCAAATGTTTCTCCATTATACAAACTTACAACTGGTCTTGCAGTTCCACAATTATATATTCCAACTGTTCCTTCTCCATTTTATGGGCTAGATCCATATCTTCAATTCTTTGTAACAGCAGTTTATTCTGTGAGAGAGATTCAGATAGCTGGTTTTCTCTGAGTTGTACCAATTCTTCAAGGTAACCCTGGAAATACAAATGTTGGAAAGTCTGAAAGAACATACTATGAAAAAACTTCATTATGTACGTTCACATTTTTCTAGTTTAAGTTGTTACAGTTCTACTTGGGTTTTGTTCCAGGATTTCTGTTTTTAAGCAAATTAGTAAATTGATTTAAGATCAGTATGATGTTTCCTATGGAACCAAGAAAACCATATACTTATTTATATTCCTGCAGAGGAATAGAATAATGGATGAAACAATGAGACAGGAATGCTACCAGCATGAAAGACTAATCTGTGTATTGAAAACAACACAGAACAGCCACTACAAGTGGCCACTTGGCCACTACAAGTACAGTACAAGTAAAAGATCAGAACTCAACAACTTAACAGATGCAGGTGATTGGATACTGGACAAGAGCAGCATGTATCTATATGGAGCTGCATAGTTAATGGAAGAGATCCAGACTTAAAAAATCAGGCATGTACAGCTGGAATGTGCATGTGAATTTGTGTCATTGCTTTCCCAGTTGTTACTATAAAAATGTTGGGCAAGCCCTAACCACACTCCAACTACTTAGTCATTTACAAAAATCCACAATGTGAGTATTTACAGCAGCTGTAATAGCAGGCTGGTCACAAAGTACATTCACAAATTACACATCTGGTTACAATACTAAGCAGCTATTTCTTTTTCTGCTTCAAGCAGAGTCCCAGCATGTCAGATGCTAGTAACTTCTTATAACTTCTTAGCTAAAGCTGGATAGAGTAAGAAAAAATGGAAAAAAAAGGCAAAAAGCACGTATCTCGAGCCTGCGGAACAATCTCTTTCATAGATGCTGGCCTGGTCTGAGGCCATTGCCTATGGCTATACTGAACTGAGATTGCCCAGGACCCCACTAGCTGCTGCCAGCTGTCAAGCTGGACTAGACTATCTCCAGAAATGCCATCTGACCACAACCATTCTGTGATTCTATTGTTACATACAGTTCTAGCTACGACATTTATTTTAGTTTCAGTACAAATTCCAAGGAAACGTAAGAGCTTTTCAGTATGCCTAGTTCCACCCCATCAAATGTTACTATTACCTGACTGTTAAGGCTCTCCTTAGAGCCCTAAATTTTCAAAAAACTCATTTTCAAAGTACTAAATGATGCATTTGGAAATATAAAATTTCTTGTCTCCCAGAAACATCAAACAACATTTGACAAAAAGATTTTAGATACGAAGCATCAGTATTAGAAGCAGAACTCTATGAGCAGTAAATACTGCTCTCTATAATGACACGGAAATAGATCATTCCAACAGTGAAAGCATAAAAAACTCCAGTACATACAGTACCCAAAGAATTCAGGAGTTTACTACACAAAGGTGAAGAGTTTACACCATTCCAAAATGGGAAAGGGATAACTTTCATGTAAGTAACAAATGTGTAAACTATGACTCACTAATCTGGACAAGGGACAATTTGGAAAAGACAAACATCTTTTCAGAGTGGCCTGGAGAGGGCAGGAAGGAAGCAACGGTTCATTATTTATTAAAATACAAGAGCTAGGCACCATGAAATGAAGCTAGTAGGAGCCAGATTCAAAAGACAGAAACGGAGGTGGCTTTTCACACAACAGATGATAGATATGCAAAATGCTTTGCAAAAATAATTATTTGGATGCTAAAAATTTTTATGAGGTTAAGGAAATATTTAACAAGTATTTGGAAGAGAGGTCCATCATGGGTTACTAAATAAACTTTGTCAGCTTCAGGAAGTCCTTGAGCTGATACATCTTGGCCAAGAAAACATTGGAGGAAAGAGAGCACATATACATGTGCTTTGTTTTTATTCTTTCCTCCACATCTACTCTGGGCAAATATCCAAGACAGGATAGTAGGATAACCAAAGATTCTTGGTCTAAACCAGCATATTATTGTAGATCCAATAAAGCAAAGCTGGGATTTACCTTGCTACAACAACACCTGATCCTATCCTACCATTCAAATAACTCAGAAGATAGACACCTTTACCTTATCTCTTGTCATATTGAGAACCCAGTAAGCTTCATTCACCTGTACTACTAATGGCTGTACATACTTACTTAGGAGGTACAGCAGGAA